TCAATCCCTTTGCCATCCGCATTCTGAATTTTTGCTCCCTTTAGTGGCAGGTATCAGCACACAAACAGCACAAATGTTGGTGGTCAAAGTAGAAATTAAGCATATTTCTGATCTACTCTCTGAACTGTTCCATTTGAGTGTCAAGTGCTTCTACCAAGGCCTGGGGGGAAATGCAGGATTTGAGTGTTGGCATGCTTCTACTGTGTGCTAGGCACTGAGCAAAGCCATGGCACAGAAAGCCTGCACTTCAAATGTAAAATATGGAGCAGCAGATGGATGTAATAAAGCAGGAAGCATACGGAAACAATGACACGATTATGAACAGCATAATACGCAATGGTTATAGCACACCAAAGCAATAAGCAAGCTTCCTATTATGGATGCCTAAATTGGTCATTTTAATATCTAAATAGCAGTCATCTGGCCCAGCAGGGCCATACAGAGCATCTCTCCCTGTTATTCCAATGCCTTATACAGCCAGTGGAAGTGTCAGTCATGAGACAGCAACTCCCTTGTGCCCCTGAGAAATAAATGGTTATTCAGGTCCTGATGGGTTATTCAGGCCTCAATACAGCCAAGTATCCACTTTCTCTGCTCTGTGCCTAAGTGCTGAAGCCAAGAGGCTGTTCAACATGCAGTGTCCCTTTCTCCAATGGTCCTTTCTTAAGCTGCACCAGTTGCAAAACCTCTGGCAGTGAATTGCTCAGGCTGAGCCAACTCCAAGTGTGTGCAGCAAAGCACAGGCTTGTAGGGAGAACTGCAGTGCAAAAAGCACTGCTAAGGCTCAGTTGCCCCAGGGGCTGGCAGCCCCAGCCAATACGTGGTACCAATTGTACTCTTGAATTAAGGCTCCTAAATTTCCCTTAAATCAACCCTAGGGTTGCTAATAGTTGGTCTAAAAGTTCTCCCTTGGCAATAACAAATGAACTTAGAGGAGCTTGGAATTCCAACTATTTAATTTGAGATTCCCAGTGAATGTCTTGGAAAGTTTACAGCCTTGCCATATTCTGCTAGTGATTTAAGAGTTTAACTTGTTAGATGCTCCAATATTTGTCATTTAAAATTTTCTTGCCTGAATACAGTGGCCAAAATATTTCCTATCCGATTGTTCAAAACAAGCACCTGAAGATATATGTTTTTATACTTGAATCACTAGCTTGCTCTGCCACTGAGCCCTGCGTCTCTGAAAGTCAGGCACTTTAGATACCTACACAATGGTTTCAGGGACCTAACTTTTGGCAGTCAAATTCGTGTTTGTGAAACTATCAAATGTTTCTAATAAGAATCTAAACGTAAACCAGACCAAAGAAAAAAAGCAAGGGGGAATAAAAAGAAAGAAAAACAATACTCTGTAGGAAATCTATGTGTTGACATAAAATATAGAATTATTCTATACCTATTACATCCATATAGGTAGGTACCTTTTTCCAATGATGAATTATTTGAATCAGTTGTTCAGAGCATCCTTGGAAGACAGCTTCTGTACCTGACACCCACCAAGCCAGCAGGCTCCACACCAGTGCGCTGTGTGGTAGTGATGCAGGCATCCATCACACCTCGGCAGGAAGCCTTCATTCACTCCCATGTTGTTACTTCTATCTCTGCACGTTCTCAAAAATAAAGCTTGGTGTCAGTGCCTGAAGGTTTGTATGTTTTCTGTTCTGCTGTTATCTTAGTAGCAACTATTCCTGAACAAGAGGATTAAACGTGGTGTGTCCACATCTTGTAAGCCTGCTTTAGGGATTCACTTACCAGAAGGGTGAGGTCCAGGCAAACGGAAAGCCCCAGCAACACTCATGGGTAAATAAAAGCCAAAGCTATGACACCACATTTGTGTTTGGGCCGTGCTTTACTTTTGTGTTCAGAGGAAATAAACCCAGAGTTTTTCTTTCATTAATGGGGTAAAAACATAAGCATTTCTCAGCAGGGTATCATGGTGAAGTCATAAACCATCACGACTGTTTTGAGATTGTTGCTTCAGTTTCTCTGTCTGGTGCACTAGAGCACTCCAAGAAAGGTCTTCTGGGGGCTATGGCCATCATTGCTGTTGGGTCTCTGGGGAATGGCGTTGCCAAGAGCACATAGCAGACTTGTCTCCAGCTCTCCTGTAGGTGGAGGAATGAGGTTGAGGTCTGGGTTAAAAAAGCACAGCTCAGCACTTCAGCTGTCACCATCATGCTGCTACTCACCACAAGGCCTAGGCAGAGGCTTAGTGACAGGCACCCTCCAGCTTCAGAAAGCAGGAAGGACTGCTGTCCTCCATGCAAAGACAATAAGACTACATGTCAACCAGTGCAGTGCCTAAGCCTAAACCTTAGGCTGAAATCGACCATGTTCACCACACTGCCCTTGGGAGAATACTGAAGTATGAAAACAGAGGGTTGTCCTCCTCTAGAGAGCATTGACAGAGAAGCATGAGAGCTCTGGCTTGCATGTATGTCTGCTGTGATCAGCCTTCCAGGGGGGTTGTCTGCAGCACCTTCAGGCTCTGACCAGCCCCAGAGTCCACAGCAGGAGCAGCTACAGAAAGCCACTCAGCCCCCTGCTCAGGCTGTACATTGAGGCTCAGATTTCTTTCTCTGTGTGTGTACAAATACGCACATACACCTCTTCCAAGTACTGTTAGGCAAGAAGATGGATTTCATCTAACAGGGGCATCTGAAAGGGTTTAGCTCTTCAGGGCTTTGTGTGTGACTAAGCTCAGTGGCGGTAGTCAGATGTTGTACAAAGCCTTCTTCATTCTTTACATTCAGTACTTCTCAGTTCGGCCTACACCCACTAAAAATCTTTCCCATGTTTTTCTTCCTTACAAGGAAAATAAACTTGTAAAGAGGAAGAAGTGAAGGGTTATATCTGGAGGGAGTTATGGCTGTGGCTCAAAGGAACAACTGGAATGTGTGCAATGCGGAAGTTCCTTCCACGCAGCCATTTTGCTTTTGGGGAGCACAGACACGTGTTATTTCTGTTTGCAGAACGCAGCCCCAGTTCAGATTCCAGTGGGGGGGAATGCAACAGCATTCCCTAGAGAGAGCATGGTGGTGATTTATGTTGGTGCTACCCATACGGCCTCATGTCAGGAGCATCTCAGCAGGAGAAATTTTACCTGATTTGAAGCCACAGCCTTGACTGTAGCAGCAAATATTATCATTGTCCAATTTTGATACTTTTTGGTGTTTGCAGATCCCACTGAACTCATCTGGCATCAAGGTGTTTGGAAGAGAAAGAAATCATTTGTGTGTACATTGACACGGGGATAGCAAGCAGTACTGCATCTGCTACAGCCCCACAGCTTCTTTCACCTGTTATAACTATTGGATTGAGGGGCAACATCATCCACCTTTGAGCTCACCCCTAAATCTTGAACAGTATATGGGATGAAAAAGCAGAAAAGCGAAGTGTTTTTCTCTGGTATAAATTAGTGGTGTGGAGATGGAGGAAATCTAGGTATTGCAACTCCAGCATGTCTGATGTATCTGACTTTCCAAGAGCTGGGGCTTTTTTAGTCTATGAATGTTAATGAATGATACACAGTTCAAAACCACTCTCTGATATTTTCTCAAGCTGATGTAGTTTGTCATTAAACATTTTTAAACAAAAGCTTGATTTCTGATCCTGAAATTTAAGTGTTCACCTGCATCTGTTCTTATTTTTGAACCCCTCTTGAAAAGGAAGAATCCTGCCCAAATACTTCACTGCTTAAAACCAACCCAGCTTCTGAAAAGGGTCAGTATTTGAAGCCCTTAATATTTACCTGTGCAAAAGTCACAAAGTCATTTTAAAGTGATGTGGTATCTGTAAAACAATTATCATTAAGCACTGTTTTTTTTACACACAGCCTTACAGTTTTGAGACGTTTATAAACAAACCACTTTGGGAATAATGAAAGCCAGAGAAGAGAAAAAATAATCTATGAGGCAACAACATTGTCAGTCATAGGTATTTGTTTTTCCATTCATAATGCCTGAAGTACTTGTAATATGCAATACCCTGCATACTGTTCTTGTTTTCATGCTTTTTCCAAAAGCATGCCATACTCGGGACAAAGTTCTGTGAAGAAATACTTTATACTTCATTTGTTTTTTAAAATGCCATTGATTGGAGAACAGAAACTGCCCATCCCCTCTTTGGATCTTCTGGCTTTTGTCTGAGAAATTCTAGTTTCTATTTGCAGTGACTTTTTCTATTATTTCTAAATTGCCAAACATTGGGGGGGGAAAAAGTATTTTAAAGTGAAAGTATTGATTAAACAAAGAATTTGCTATTCCCTTCAGTGCTGTATTTTTGGAAATAATTTTGAGCAGGATAGCTACCAGTATTTGAAAGGAACATCTGCAGTTCATCTAGCAACTGGCTTTCAAAACACTCCCATGTGTGCCTGTCTTGTTCCTGATCCATTTCCAGTAATTATTCCTGACAGTTACATGTGTCATTAGAAGGGATATGAATGAGCAACGGTGTTTAAAAATTGTGAAAAGCACCGTACAAAAAGTAGGACAGAAACAAAGAGGTCTCCTTGGTTGATCTTGTAACAAAACCACTGCTTCCAACAAGACAGGTATGAAAGCAACAACCTGGCAGACCATCACCATGAAATCAAAGTCAGTAGTGGACCTCCCACAGCTCTGGCCATTCATCGTACTCGAGTGTGTATCTGCATCACCTGAGCCCCTAACTATGTAGGAACTAGTTACACACTGCATTAAATTCATCAGTCAGCTACACTCTTGAAAGTTTCATTTGCAGTCCAAATTTCTTGAACTGCAGCACACAATTGCTACATATTCTCACACCTCTCTGTTCGAAAGAGAAGTGTGTTATTGTAGTGGAAATGCTGAGTCATGGATTGAACCAGTGATTGAGCACCTGTGGGGAAGGCAGAGCCAACCAGGGAGGGGAGCAGGTGTATGCAATGCAGCTGAGTGACTGGAAGAGGTGCAGCCAGGATCCACCCCTTCCCAGAACTTATATAAGGGTTGGCAGTGGAGGCGGGTATCTTGCTAGAGATTTCTGTGTATCTAAGGCCTTCTGAAGGTAAGCAGTGTCTTTCCTTTGTTTCTGTGCCTGTGGTTGTTGCATCTGGTTAAGTCTTTGCTTACTGCTGCCTGGGACTTTGCTGGTCTGCTATTATTGCTGTGCTTTCCATTGTGTTGCAGTTATCAATGTGTTATATTGATATAATTTTTATTTTTATTAAAATATCCTGTCAGCTGTACCTGGCACCTGATTGTGTAGGTGGTGGAGAGCAGGAGGAGAAATGTGTCCTTGTGGAGATCTCAACCAGGTGAGGAAGGTAGCAGCTGTGTTCTCTCTTAATGAAAGAGAAAAGGGAAATTAAAACTTGGAAGTTGATGAGCAGCCTAGTTTACCCCATTTATGGCTTCCTCTTGTCAGAAATACTCAATGTATGCTAGGAGTTACGATGTCTCTATGACATGTGTTGTAAATGTGTGAAGAGTTATAACTATGCACCCAGATACATTGAAACTTAAAATGGGTGCAATTGTACTTTAAACAGTTTCGTTTTTACTCCTAAAATGTAAGGTAGTCATAGAATGATTTGCTGTGACAAGAAAAAAATAAGTCACCCATTAGTATGGGTTTAAGAGGGAAATAACAAGGACTTGTTACATCGTCATGCATGAAGAGTCTTGATTTGGCATGGCTTTCATTGTTTTTCTTTGAGAAATGTTTCTTAGTAAAATGATTGAGGTCCTTCTTTTGTTCTTTAGGTGTTTTGTTGTTGTTTTTTTTTTAAAGGAAACATGTAAAAGATACAAACACCATTTTTACACTTCACCTTTTCAGACACAGAGATGGAAGAAAAACTTCTGCCTTACAAATCGAAGCACTTGTTTCATCCCTTCTTCAAGGCTTCATTACATTTCCTCAGGCCAGAGAACGTTTATTTTTAAAGCAAAATCTCTGTAAGTAATACTTTGGTTTTGATTAAGTGAAGACACAGCAGAAGCTGAATTGAGCCCTTGTCACCTGAATGGCCTGCAGCTTGTGGGATGGCCGCAGCATTGAGGCATGAAGACAGGATAGCAGTGGGGTGTCTGTGGGATGGTTTCTCAGATTCAGTGCACAAAGGCAGCAGGGTTGGCTGCCTGTGAACCCCTTGCAGACCCTGCCAACCCCCTCTGTCCATGGCTGAGGATGCGCAGCAGTTAAGGAACAGGCCCACTAGCTGCAAGGGGCACTCTGGCTTCAGACCTCCATGCCCCAGCAGCCCATGGCACAGCCACTCCTCATGCTTCACTCCTACCTCCAAGTATTACACCAATAGCACTGACAAATGTGCTGAGGGGAACAAGATTAGATAAGGAAGAAGGAGGAGGCAAAATAATGCTCTTTCTACTGACATGTCATTGTTGGTACATCTGTATTATGTCTAGATGTACTAATTACTTCTCTGAAACTGCGCTGCAAGACAATTTGAGCTGATAAATCATACGAGTTTTCTGGTTTTAAGATCCCAAATGCCATGTGAGAAGAAAAGATGGGGATAGGGGAAGAAAAGAATGGATGCTCACCTTAAATCTGTTGACACAAAAACGTAGCTTCAGGATGGTAGTAAAATACTGTAAAACACAAAAAAGGCAGTCTTGCTTGGAATCCAACTCATACTAAGGCATTCTTCATGATTCTCTCCTTTTCTGAAGAAGAGGGGAAAAAAAAGATTTTTAAATGGAGCCTAGTCTTTAGGAGTTGTGTATATATGTTCTTGACTGATGAACTCTTATATATGCATGTGATCCAATAGAAAGTCGTTTTAAAAAATCAAACCATTAATTATAGGGTGATTTCATAGCAAAGGTTAGGGAAAAGTCAGGACGGTTTGGTGGTTTGATAATGTTTATTCTCTTTCTCTATGACATACTGGATGGTAGTATATATAGCAGGGGCTTTCCCAGTTGTTTGTACACGCTCTCCCACACCCTAACAAAGAGGTAGGAAGTAGAGAAGTATTGTTTATAAAACCAAAGCTGGATAAACTATCTGCACAGAGCCTCTGCAGCAGAGGATTTGCTTTGCATACTTCTACACCTCAGTGAATTTCAGTGGGAGCTGCAGTTTCACTTATACTACGTGGGCTACTGAGGGCCTTTGACCCAATCTATTTGCAACAGCTGATCTCCCCTCTAAATGGAGCCAGACACTAATTGTTCTGGCTGATGCTAAGGGCTGGTGCACCTCAGCCTTGTGAAAGCAAAAGGCAAGAAAATCTGAAGAGAGCTACTGTGATTTCCCTTTGAACGCAAAATGCGTTTGAGCAGAGTAGAGTTAAAGTAAATGACATGGGGCGTTCTAGGGCAAAAACTTTTGACATCTGCTTATGCTCACACAAACTATTTGCTACCAAAGTAACTCCTGGAGGCTGAGATGGCCTGATGACAGCATAGGAAAAGGGTGGAAGAAGCATGGTCTTTCACTCACTCACAGAAATCACCGTGGCCAGAAAGTTGGCTAAAGATCTTCCTGGCCAAGTTCCAGCGCTGATGAGGGATTCTCAAATACTACTTCTGCAGGGACTGAAGGCTACGAGTAAGCGAGAGGGCTGCCCAGAAGAGAAGGCAAATAGAGGATGAGCAACTCAGAAGATGATGTTTGCCAGCGGCCTGCAACGCTACTCTGCAGCTTCTTGCCTTTTTCAATAGTCAGAAGTGGATAGATAAATAAATAAAAGCACATTTTAAAATTGGAAATAAATAAATCCAGAACAAACAGCAGCAGTTAAAAAAACATAATGCTGGCTACACCCAGCATCACTCAGTCTCAGCTGCGTTCCTGTGTGCTTCTATCCAGTACCAGCCAGCACTTCAGCAATAATCCAGTCAAAGCTGCTAGTATGTGCAAAAATCTGGCCCAATTAATCTAAATATAGACTCTAGTGGGACATTACTGAAAATAAGGGTTTATCATTTTAATCAGTACCCTTTGGTGTAATTCAATGCTATGTGACATTCCTGTGACTGGCTGGCTGTTCCCTGAGCAATTCCCTTCAACACTTCCATGGGTCAGTATCCAGGACTGATGTTTCCTCCTCCTTTTTCCTCAGAGAGCCAGGACATCCAGAGCAGCTCAGTTCTAACAGCATGCAATGAAATGGCCCCATAAAGGCCAAATGAAGGCTGGAGGTATGCCAGCATGTGAACAGGGGGGCTTCTTTGTGGGGTGACTGCATAGCTAAATATCCTGGTTAGTCTCAGCAGCAATCTAGGAAAGCAGCTGGAAAAACATCAAAATAATTCACAGCACAGATATCATTGAATTGTAAAGGGAGAAAAGCTGCATCTCTGTTTGGTGCTAGTATTTTAAAGAAATGATTTGATGAAACTCAGAGTTACGTTTTGGTAATTCCAAAATTCTATGATTACAGAGAAGCTGTAAAAAAAAGCTGACTCTTCAGCTGGACAAATCTGCCGAAGGTGGTCATTAATATGATATCTTAAATATCCGCTACCAAGGCCCAGATGAATTCCTGAAAAGTCAAAAAGCATGAGATAGAGAAGACCTGCAAGGTCATCTGGTCCATCTCCTTGTCAGTGTTTGTTGTTTTGTTTCTCCCTGGTTTCCCATGTCTTAATTTAAATTTGTTCTTATTTCCTCCCTCCTTATCAACCATATGAATCTTCTTTAAAATAACTGCTCTCCTCCTCAGTATAAGATCAGATAATAGAGTACAGATTTAATTCCTTTCTCTTGTAGAACCTGAAATTAATCTGTCTCTATTAAGAGCTCAATTGTGGTTAATCACTATTGTCCCTATCGCTTTGTTTCAGCTTGTTCTGCGCACATTGCTTTTTGTCAGACGTTGTCAATAATCCTCCTTTCCCTTGCTCACTCATGTGTGAGATTTCTCTTGCATTTAGTCACAGGCCTCTTCTTAATCCTCTCTTTAGTGATTACTGAGTGCTAGGATCTGCATCTGATAAATCCAATGGCTAATTTTTTTTTCTCCAAGGGCAGAACTTCAGTATTTCAACCACCTCACTGCAGACTCCTATTTGCAGCGCCGATTTCCTGTTTGCTCTACAAGCTTCCATAGGATTTTGTGGCTAAAGCTTTCTAGCTTTCTGCTCCTCTCTTCAGTAGATCAACTGAATAGAAGTGTATCTGATCCTTGGCAACAAAAGACTACAGCTTAAAAAATAAAAAGTAAATTAAAAAAATGATATTCCTCTGTCCTTTATTATTGTTTTCTCAAGGGAGTGTAGAAAAAGCAAGTGTTATCTCCATATGCTTTTTGGTTTTCAGAGGCCATACGCACAAATCTCCCCCCTCCTTGGAGCTGTAACCCCTTTCCCCACAGCTCTCTGTGATATCTCATATATCCTTCCTTTTGTTATTTGTTATGCATCTTCCAAAACAAACACAACTGTAGAAACACAGGATATCTTCAGATTGCAATGCTTAGGATCAAAAACTATACTGGCTTTAGGCCGGAGGCAGCGCCGCTGCACATGGGGATTTGAGTTAAATCTCTTTAAAAAGCTGCTATTTTTTCCATTCCCCTATAAATATTAGCGTAATATTCACAACAACGCCTTTATGTTTTTCAAGAGGCAACCACTTGATTTCATGCTTTGATGAACAGAGAAGGCTAGTGCAGTCTTTTTTTGTTGGAAAACTTTATCCCATAAATGTACTATGAAAGAATACAGGATGTGGGATGGACATTGGAAAAGTCAGAAGGGCAGAATTGGGCAAAGCCTGTTGGGCTTCAATTGTCTTTCTCAGATGGGAATGTAGGGAACTGGAACTGAAATTCAGAATGTTTCAGTGCACATTAATATATTGGTGGTGCATTGCATAAGGCAGTGCTACTCATGCTTCTTTGCCCAAGCACCCAGCGTGAAAGGAACAAATGCTGAATCATCATAGCACTGTTGCCCCATTCCTAAGTGACCTCTTCAAATCAACTTAAAGATTAGTTCCCCATACTCTGCAGAAATTGCAAGTGAACATTTGCATGTCAGCAAGACAAACGATGTTATTATGAATTAGTTTTAGCTAGTACACTCTGAAAAATACTTGTTATTCTAAAGATGAATCAGGAATATAGGGAAATTGGTACTATCTGCATAGCTGTGAACAAGATCCCATAGGGAAATCTATATGCTCCGTGTGATAAGGCATTTTCCTACCTTCCAGGAAAGCTGAGGGCCTGAAGGCGGTTGTACAGATGGGTGCAGGCAGACACGTGTTCGTCCTGCCTGCTCTGTGAGCTGGCATGGCAGGAGCCAGCTCCTATCTGGAAGCTGTACCATTAGAGTAGCACTGTGCCAAACCTGACACATACTACCTCTGAGCACTTGCCCCTTGTTATGGGCCTGCTATTTGGGTAAATGCGGGAAATACAACTTCTTTGAGAGTCATCACAAAAATGAACTTCTCATCCTGAGGGGTTATTTTTATGCTTTCTTCATATTCCATCAGTGAGACTCACCTCAGCTCTAAGACCTATTGGGGAGCCTGGACACACTTTAGTACAGCTGCCAGCAGTTGTCTTCCCTTTTTCTTCTTCTTTTTTTTTTTTTTTTTTCTCTCTCTTTTTCTTTCTCCTTTTCTGCCTTTTTCCTAAAATTCAGAGAAATCTGACAAAGTATAACAAAATCTCAAATGAAAGTGACACAGAGGGCAGGCGGAGGCTTCCAGCAGACATGAATGCAGTTGTCACAAAGGACATTTGAAGAATGGAATAAAAGTAAGCTGGGGCCTTTACATACAGATGATCCATACCTAGAGAACCTTGTTAGAACAAAGATGAGTTGTGGGATCTGTGAATCAAGTGTCCTTCTAAGACCAGCTCAGGTCCTTGAAAAGCAAATAGAGATGAATATATCCAATTTCCACTGCCATCCACGTGCACAGCTGGGGCTCCCCAGGCAGTACAGCAACAGGAGGAAGAAAACTAACAGCCAGCAGAGGTGTCTGGATTAGAAATCTCAGCAATATAAAGTCTCATTTCTATTTGTATGTGATATTTCAAGAAGCCTCTAATAATAATAATAATAATAATAATAATAATTAATAACAACAACAACAATAAAATAAAGAAAAATGGTTAAATGCTTATGTGCATGTATATATATTTATTTAAATACAAAGCTACTCAACATCTTTGTCTAAAGGTCAGCCTGACTGCTGAAGCCCTCTGGCTATGACTTGTTTTCCACTGCACCATCAGAGATGAGAGTTTCACACTTTAACATTTTCATGTGTATGATGCTGTGATTTATTAATAACCCAAAATACAGCAGCCATCAGGAAATATTGATGTGTTTTTAATTTACGTATGCGGCAGCAGAGAGAGATGTAAGACACTTAGCAATACAGCTCACACTGAGTTCTCAATTATGTGTGTCTGCTGAGCTTCTGTGGGATGAAATGACCTCAGGTAATTCTCTCACTTCACGGCCTCCAGGACATTCTGCGTAGCACTGGGTGGCCACGTTCAACCAGCCAAGCTAGAAGGGCTGTCACACTGCTCAAGTATTTGTTTCCGTTATGAATAAGACAGAGCTTAAATATGCTGATGGACCAAAACAAAGCAAAAGTAAAAAATACGTTGAGAACAGTATCTACACGGTGCTTACGCTCATATATCCTAAAGAGACAAACACCCAGCATCCGTAGGGCCTCAAAGAAGCGGGCACTGAGCTCCACACGCAGCGCCCGCAGGCAGTGAGACGGAGAGCCCGCGCAGCACGAGAGAGCAGGGCTTTCCCCTCGCCAGGCGCGCTTCTCCCAGCGCATCCTCGCGGCACAGCGCGGCCCCGGGGCGGGACGGACCCGTGGCGCGGCACATTGCGCCCCCGCGGCGCTCGGGCGAGCGGAGGCGCCGTAGCCGGTGGCGCAGCGCCCCCGAGCGGCCGAGTCCGGCTCTGCGGCACCGCTGCTGGGCTCCGCGGACGGCCCCGGCGGGGAGAAGCCGCGCGCTGAGACCGGCGGCGACATCGCCCGTGAGCCGCTGCTGCCGCATGAAGGGGCCGCGGCTCCTCAGCGCCTTACTGTGCCTACAGGCATGGCTCGCTTCGGGAATAGCGAGAAACTTGGGAACAGCTTCAATTAAAATCTGTTGTCTTCTTTACGTTTATTCTCTTTAAACCTTCTAATCAGCAAAGGGGGTCGTTTAGCAGATGGCAGCGATTCTGTAATTACTGTGCAAATCCAGCATAAGAGCAGTTATAGGAGTAACCATGCAGGAAAAAAGGCAAGGCAAGGTAAGGCAAGGCAAAGACAAGGAAGAAGGAAAGAGGAAAGGAAAAAAAAAAAGGGGGGGGAGGTGGGGGGGAGGGAGAGGAAGGAAGAAAAAGGAAAAAGAAAAAGAAAGAAAAAATGGGGAAAAAAAGAAAGAAAAAAAAAGAAAAGGAAAAAGAAGAAATAGGGAAAAAAAAAAAATATATGAGTGATTACGTCTCACCAGATGCCTGTTGGAAATTTAAAGGCTAGATTCTCCTGACTGTCAGGAATTTTAGAATAGCTTTACCAATGTGACTTAGTATCTACTATTTAGCTGCATGTGAATGTGTCAACTGTTCCATTTCACGCTGGCAATACTTAAGGCCATTGCTGAAAGTATGACAAGAGGTGTGTATTTATTGCATCTACTTAAATCAAAGGAGTTTGATACTTACGCCTACTGAAAATAATGAATTGTAGTTCTACTGGGAGGGATTTTTTTTTTTTTTTTTTTTTTCTGGTGCTCTTTCTTACAAGTATCATAGTAACATGCAATGATTTTACTTGATGGTCATAATTTTTTAAGTATTTCCTATAACACCTCCTAAAAATACTTAATATATTTCAAGATACTTTTAAAGATACGCAGAACTGTAGGTAGCTTTCAGCATACGTGAAATGTTAAGCAACACATGGAACACCTTAAGTGGCAATAGCTATACTGATTGCCCTTTCTGTTCTCTGTCTTCCTTGAACATCAAATGTTATTGGAGTTACGGAGAGGGCAAGATGCCAGGAATATGCAAGAAAAGATGATGGTAAATACAAAATACACTGTACTTCATGTAGAAACACTGCCTGTAGAATTCCAGAAAGCTGTTGAGGAAAGTAGAACATGTCAGGCCTTTTCAAAAGCACTAATGTCTTGCTGCAAACACTGCTGGAGTCGCCTATTGAGCAGTGAGTACATTGTCAGCTCTTCCAGAGTGCTCCAGGAACACATACGGAACCACGGTAGGAAGTGTCAGTGTGGTCATCATTCTTAGTATAGTTATCCAAGAATGTGCATGAATTCCTTTGTCTCTTCCAAATACACTGAAAGTAGGTGTTTGTGTTTGCTTCACCCAAATAGCCTCTTGCCCTCTTGGTGTGTCATTGTTGTAGCACCTAGGAGCTGAGAGACTGGGACTCGCTGTAACCCTGTCAACAGTAGTTGTTCTCCAGACCTGAGGAAGGCTGTTGGCCACAGTACCCACTTCCATTACTGCACTCAAAGGCAGCTCCAAGATCACATCTGCAAATCATTCAAGCAAGTGACTTTGATTTCACATTAAAAACCTACAACAGTCCAGTTCTGGAGTTTATATGTGGTTAGCGTGATAAATGTTAAATGATCTTATATATATACACAACAGACAGTGGATAATCACAGGGTCAATGAAAAATGATGGTGAGGAAAAGATGTTGAGTGATAGGAAATAGTGCATTTGTTAAACAGCTCACTTGTAGCTGTCTTTAGAAAGTAATGAGAAGTTGAGACTCTGTTCATGAGTCAGAGATAACAGCAGTATCATCACTAGAAATACAAGATGCACTAAAAGCAGACAGAGCCTGAAGTGCAGATAATGTATATCCGTAAGTCTGTAGCAGAGACACATCTGCAGTGCTTTCACTGACATTTCCTAGTTCACAAGGGTCAGGAAGAGATTACTAAAGATTAAGAAGCAGCATATTTGAATCCCACATTTTAAAGAGGGCAAAGGACAGGAAACTGTAAGTCAGCAAATGGAACGTTGTTTGTAGAGAAACCTAGACACTGCTTAAGTGATTTGGCTAAAGAACACCTGGAAAAGTTCATTCTGGTTAAGGAAATGGTTTGTAATACATTACATTACTTGAGTTCTTTAGAAATACTTCCACCGTTGGAGTTCTCTATA